GATTGGGGAGACTCAGGGTGGGGAGAATGAGGGTGACATGTTAGGAGATGTTGGTGACTCAGACCAGGGTGATGGTATTGAGGTGGAAAAAAGGACTGATTTCTGGATATGTTTGAAAAAGAGCTAGCAGGTTTTGTTAGTTAATTGGATATTGGATGTCAGGTGTGACCAAAAAAAAATTTAAGGATGACTCTAAGTTTTCTGGACTAAGCAAGTAGGAAGATGGAGTTGCCATCACCTGAGACTTTAAGACATAACCCAAATCTGCCCACCTCTCTCCATCTTTACCCCAGACCAAGCCACCATCATTTTTCCCTAGATCACCAAAGTGGCCCCTAACTGGTGGCCCTGCTATCATTCTCATTCTCTACTCTATCTTCATACCTACATTAGTGGCAGTTTTAAAATGTAAATCAGTTGGGATGCCTGAATGACTGCAGCTTAGGTCATGATCATGATCTCATGGTTCATGAGTCTGAACATACCTCAGACTCTTTGCTGATTGCTCAGAGCCTGGAGACTGCTTCGGATTCTGTCTCCCTGTCTCTCTGTCCCTCCTCCAGTCTCTCTCTCTCTCAAAAATAAAACACAACATTAAATTTTTTTTTTTATTTCTAGGAGAGAGAGAGAGACAGCGTGAGCAGGGGAGGGTCAGAGAGAGAGGGAGATACAGACTCTGAAATTGGCTCCAGGTTCTGAGCTGGCAGTCAGCACAGAGCCCGACGCGGGGCTCGAACCCACGAACCGCGAGATCATGACCTAAGCGAAAGTCGGACGCTCAACCGACTAAGCCACCCAGGCGCCCCATAAAATTTTTTTTAATGTGAATCAGTTGTGGGGCACCTAGGTGACTCAGTCAATTGAGTATCTGACTCTTGATTTCATCTCAGGTCATGATTTCTCCAGTTCAAGCCCGGAGCTGCTTGGGATTCTCTCTGCCTCTCCCCTGGTCTCATGGGACTGACTCTCGTGAGTGCCCGCTCTCCCTGCCTCTCTCTCAAGAATAAATATACTTAAATTGTAAATCAGCTGTTCAAAGCACTCAGAATAAAATTCAAGTGCTTTGCCAAAGCTTACCAGGTTCTGTATGACCTGGTCCCTGTTGAACTTCCTGATCTCATCTCCCATAGTCTAGCCATACTGGCCTTCTGTTTTACTTCAAACTCATTCCTGTCTCAGGGCTTTTGTGATGATCCCTATGCTTGGAATGCACTTCTCCCAAATATTCTTATGTTTGCTTTTTTTATTCAATTTCAGCCTCTATTCACATCTTACCTCCTCAAAAAAGGCCCTATCGTAGTATTGACTTGTTCTCTCCACCTGTCACTCTCCAGCCTATTCCTTCACTTTTTCTTGAGCGCTTATTAAACTTAAGTACATGACAATAACACATGTACTTATTGTCTATCATCCTCAATAGATTGTAAGCACGATATGCTCAGGGATTTTGTATTTCCCATTGTTACATCTCCAGCCCCTAAACAGTGCCTAGCCCAGAGTAGACATTGAAGTATTGAATGAATGAGAAACTTACATAAGACAATAAATGTAAAAACTTGACAATGGTACCTTGCACAGAGCAAGCAATGAGAAGACACTACACTCTGAGATCTCTCCCTAAACCCCTCTGGCCATCCCTCTTCAATTTACTTGTCAGGTTTATCCTTGTCCTTACTTGGCCATCAATTGTCAGCCCTCCTCAAGGTTATCCTGAGCCCTCTCTTCTTCCCATTTGACATTCTCCTCTCAGGTGATTTCAGCAACAGATTCTTCAGAGTTCTATCCCAATCACTACATCTTGAGTAGCCCCCAACCATTATTCTCTATATAGTACCCCCAATCACAACCTGTAATTATTCATCTGTTCACTTTTGAGAAAAACAGTGAATTGGCCTGATCCTAACAGCTAGGCCATAGTGCTCAGGTTGAATAGAACCTCACAGAATACCAATGTCAGACAAGGATACTGTGACTGTCATAAAGTAAGACAAAGTTTAGAATCTTGTCTAAGCACAAAGATAAGATCACTGTGCAAACCATAAATATTAAAAAATTTTTTTACTGTTTTGTTTATTTCTAGGAGAGAGAGAGAGAGAGAGAGAGAGACAGCGTGAGCAGGGGAGGGTCAGAGAGAGAGGGAGTCACAGACTGAAACAGGCTCCAGGCTCTGAGCTGGCAGTCAGCACAGAGCCCGAGGTGGGGCTCGAACCCAGGAACCGTGAGATCATGACCTAAGCGAAAGTCGGACGCTTAAACGACTAAGCCACCCAGGCGCCCCCACACCATAACTATTAAATAGCCCTCTTCTCAGCTAAAATGAATGGCTTTTTTTGACCAGCCACAGCCATGTTTCATTCTTCCCTCCTTCTAGATGAGATTAAGATGTGCAATCATAGAATTGCCCTCATTTCCTGACAGCACTCAATCCAGAACAATTTCATTTCCTTGAACCCTCCCCCCAAATCACCTAGCACAAACCTTTAATTCTGTCACTTTTTTCTTTTTCTTTTTAATTTTTTAAAATGTTATTTATTTATTTATTTCTAGGAGAGAGAAGGGAGACAGTGCGAGCAGGGAAGGGTCAGAGAGAGAGGGAGACAGA